TGGCGCAGTGACGTGCGAGCTAGAAAAGGATCGAGAGATGTGAGGCTTCCAACACCGGTGACTGGGGTTGGGGGATGCAGTGGGCGAGGCTGTTTTGTGAAGAGGCTGAGTCTGGGGAGATGGGAGCACCCAGGAACCAAGTGAGCAGATGGAGCTGGGAGGAGAGGCCCCAGCAGCGTTCACGGCATCCAAGGCCAGCCACCGGGTGGGGGAAAAGGCTCCCTACTGCCCCAGGCCTCCCTCTCTGACCTTCTTGCTTTCTCCAGATCTTTCTTAGCACTTGAATCATCTCCTTTTTCTTGATTCTCTTACCCGTTCCCTCCATGTCCATCCCAGCAATAATTAAAATGAGGCCACCATCCTGACCCACACATTCTCGAAGGCAACTGTGATTTGGGCAAATCCCTGGAAAACCCATAGAAGCCAGAAAGGTTAGGGTCCATTTTGAGGTGGCTCCGGAGCAGGCTTTCTTCTGGTCTTCCGTATTGTTGGGGATGGGTGCGAGGTGAGTTACCAGGACACCGGCGTCCTGTACTGCATCCCCGCTGTCCCTGAGAAGCCTCTCCTTCCCCCCCCACCCCAGTCTTGCTGGAACGAGTATCTGACAACTCGGATTGAGCAGAACCTTGTGTTGAATTGCACCTGCCCCATTGCTGACTGCCCTGCGCAGCCCACGGGAGCCTTTATCCGGGCCATTGTCTCCTCACCAGATGTCATTTCCAAGGTAGCCCCTCTTCTGCGGGAGGCCGCCACGTGCAGCCGGAGGGACAGGCCCCAGGGAGTGGACTGGCGTGCAGAGGGTGGGGTGGGGAGGGGAGGGGTGGTGGTTACAGAGGTGTGGCGTCCTGGAGAGCCGGGCCCTTACCTGGTGGCGCTTATGTCCCCACAGTACGAGAAGGCCCTCCTGCGTGGCTATGTGGAGAGCTGCTCCAACCTGACCTGGTGCACCAACCCCCAGGGCTGCGACCGCATCCTGTGCCGCCAGGGCCTGGGCTGTGGGACCACCTGCTCCAAGTGTGGCTGGGCCTCCTGCTTCAACTGTAGTTTCCCTGAGGTGGGTGCCTGCCCAGCCCTGCCCCTGCCAGCACCCCTCTCCGTCCCCCCCACACACTCACACACTCACACACTCTGCCTTGTCCTCCCCTCTGCCCCTGGGTCGAGCTCTGTTTCTCCCCATGCAGTCCTCCACATGTGACCTCCCTCCCTTGCACACCCGCGGCGCCACCCTTGGCCAGGGCTCAGGGCTCAGCCGTGACCTCCCCGCCCCCTCTCTAGGCGCACTACCCTGCCAGCTGTGGCCACATGTCCCAGTGGGTCGACGATGGCGGCTACTACGACGGCATGAGCGTGGAGGCCCAGAGCAAGCACCTGGCCAAGCTCATCTCCAAGCGCTGTCCCAGCTGCCAGGCTCCCATTGAGAAGAACGAGGGGTGTCTGCAGTAAGAGGGGTTACTGCGGGCATTGGTGGGGTCAGAGAGCATGGGAGAGGGTGGGAAGCCTGGCGGTGCGGAGGGCCCGTGGGGCTTCCCAGATGGCTGAGCGGAGGGCAATCACTCACTGTCCCCAGCGTGGCGCCTACACCTTAATGCTCCTTGCCCTGCTTTTAAGTCTGCACCACATGGGGCTCGGAAGCGAGGGCGCGCTCACTAGGGGTTGGTAAGGTTAAAGAGACTGTCAGGGCCCAGAGGGGCCGGGGCGGGTTCGGTGGGGCCTCCAGCACTCTGACCAGCCAGCTTCCTCCATAGCATGACCTGTGCCAAATGCAACCACGGATTTTGCTGGCGCTGCCTCAAGCCCTGGAAGCCAAATCACAAAGACTACTACAACTGCTCCGCCATGGTAAGGGGCTGGGGCCAGGGCCGGGGGGCCCAAGGGCAGTCAGGATGGGACATGGCTGCAGGCCTGGGCAAGGAGGGTTCTGTGTCCTGAGCTCTTGGGACGGGGGCTCCATGTGAAGACAGAAGCCTCCTGGGCCTCTAGGCGCTGGGAGTTCTGTCCTGGGAGGTGTGTGCATTCTCCGAGGCACCAGGCCAGAGCAGAGCAGAGCCCGTCCCTCGCGTCAGAGCCTGGCACCCCTGCTTAGTAGGTGGCTTTGGGCCAGTTTCCTTGCCCACGCCTCGGCATCCTCGCCTGCACAGGGGGGAGAGTAATGTGACCTACTTCACGGAGTTAGGATTAAATGAAAAGGTCTGGGTGAAGAGTCTGAAGGCCTGCACGCGGGGTGCCTTGTGTGTTCGCCCCATCCTGCCCAGCAAAGCACCCAAGAGCCCTCCCTCTCCACCTGTCCTTACCAGGTAAGCAGAGCAGCTCGCCAGGAGAAGCGGTTTCAGGACTATAACGAGAGATGTACTTTCCATCACCAGGCCCGGGTGAGCTGGGAGGGAACGGTTGTGTGGGTGAGGAGGTCAGAGGGCTGGGATGGATGGCGGGGCAGGGGCCCCAGATCCGAATCGGGTGGGTGGCGCTCATCCACCTCACCCTGCACAGGAGTTCGCCGTGAGCCTGCGGAACCGCGTGTCTGCCATCCACGAGGTGCCACCCCCCAGATCCTTCACCTTCCTCAGTGACGCCTGCCGGGGACTGGAGCAGGCCCGCAAGGTGGTGGGGGCGGGGGCGGGGGGATGTACCAAGGGGTTCTGGCGGGCTCGGCTGCTGGCCTCTAACCCTCGGGAACGGACGGAATGAGGCAGCAGGGAGTGGGTTGGTGCCAAGGCTCAGCAAGGAAAGGCTGACTTGGGCTCCCGCAGGTGCTGGCCTACGCCTGCGTGTACAGCTTCTACAACCAGGGCACGGAGTACATGGACGTGGTGGAGCAGCAGACCGAGAACCTGGAGCTGCACACCAACGCCCTGCAGATACTCCTCGGTGCGGCCTGGTCCCCTGCTTGCACACTCCTTTCCCCTGCCTGTCCACCCCCACGGCATCCCCTCCTAGCAAACAGTGGGCAAAGTGACACCCCCACCCCAGTCCTCCTCCTTCACAGCCTTTATGCGACCAGCCTTTTAAAATTCAGGTATGAAAGTATGTGGTACTTGCTGTAGGTGCCTAAGGGCACAGGCCTTCACCTGACCTGATTCGCATCTGCCCCCTCCACTGGGATGGAGGCCCCATCAGAATGAATATCTAGTCTAGAGCCCTGCCTGGTAGGTGTGGGTGGGACTTGGTAGATATGTTCAGTAGGTGTTTGAAGGGAGGGATGGAAGGAAGGAGCGGAGCAAGGGAGCCCCTGTGCCCTGCCCCCTCTGCAGAGGAGGCGCTGCTGCGGTGCAGAGACCTGGCCTCGTCCCTGCGCTTCCTGCGGGCCGACTGCCTCAGCACCGGCCTGGAGCTGCTCCGGAGGATCCAGGAGAGGCTGCTGGCTATCCTGCAGCATTCTACCCAGGTACGTGGCCGGCCTGACCCTGGGCCTCCTGGGCCCAGCACAGCCCCTGCCCTGGGGGGTGCAAAAGGAAAGGCGGCTGTTTGGAGACCTGGGTGTGCACCCCAACTCCTGGGCCGGCCTGCCGGATGTGGTTGGGCTCTGCCACGTAACCGCCTGGCAAGTGCTACAAAATAGAGTCAGCCCACATCAAGGGTATTAGCCCAGATGCTTGCTCATCAGAATCACTCGGGGAACTTTTCCATACGTCCCCAGTGGGAACGTTGGGATGGGGACCCACTGGGGTTCTTCCCAGCTCTGATACACTGATGTTGTGTCTGAACAAGGAGTCCTGCCCTCGGGGAGCTTACAGAGGAGTAAATAACTTGGGTAGACAGGACAGGAACATACACCGTTAGCTCCTGAAGCACAGGGCCGGGTGCCTCGCTGGCACGACCCATGTCCCCCGGAGTTCCATGACATGCAGGCTTGGGGCTGTGGAGTCCCAGGATGAGGGAGGGAGAAGAGCTAGGAGCATCTCTGCCGGCGCCCCCCACCCCGCACCTAGGAGGCCGGCAGAGAAACGGTGGGTGAAGGAATGCTGGGCAGAGGCCCAGGCCCTCCTCTACTCTCCGACTTCCCACATGTCCCCGGCTCCTCGCCAGGACTTCCGGGTCGGTCTGCAGAGCCCATCGTTAGAGACCCGAGAGGCGAAAGGATCCAACGTGCCTGGCAGTCAGTGAGTAGGGTGGGCAGAACCCCCGCAAGGGTGTGGGACATGCGTGGCTTCGCCTCAGGCTGAGCGTGGCACCCTCCCGCCCGCCCTCCCCAGGCCCCAGGGCCCCTCTGGGCTGGAGGTGGAGGAGGAGGAGGAGGAGGAGGAGGTGCCCGAGTGGCAGCAGGACGAGTTTGATGAGGAGCTGGACAACGACAGCTTTTCCTACGACGAGGAGTCTGAGAACCTGGACCGAGACACTTTCTTCTTCGGTGACGAGGAGGAGGATGATGAGGCCTACGACTGAGGGGCAGGACACGGGGGGGCACGTGGGGCCACCCCAGAGTCCTGGGGGCCGAGGGGGGGAGCTCACCCCTTCCTGCCGTCTTCGGGGGAGGCAATTCCCAGTGTCTACAGTACCTTCTGTTTACTGAATAAACTTTTCCACATCCTTCTCTGGAAGCAGGCTGCGCAGCTGCGTCCCTAAGGGCTAGCGTCAGCTCCTGGCTCCCTCTGTATACCCGCACCCCTCATTCTTCACTTTCCTTTTAGACCTCCGGACGCTTGTGTTCTCAGAGAAGGCCCAAAGCAGACCCATTTGGCCTAAGCTGGACAACGGGAAATGAAAGGTCCGCATGGTCCAGGGCCAGGTGCAGGCCTGCGCGTGTGTCTCGGAACCCCACCCAGCATCAGAGGAGACCGAGAAACGGCCACCCTCCAGGCCAGCCTTTCTCAGACTCTTGAACGTTCCTGGCACGAGTCTGAGGGCACTAGGAAGTACTCTGTCTTGGGGGCCTACAGAATGTTCACGGGTCTCTCTACATCTTGAAGTGAAGCAGGAAAGAAAAAGATATTCCTGAGGACCTCTCCCGCCCTATCACTCATAGAGACGACATAGGTAGACTTTTAAACATACCTTTTAATTTGGTAATGGGGCTAAGAGGTAGGAAGGAAGTGTACCAGGGCAGAGTCTGGGATTAGAAGAATTAACAAAGTGGGGTTAAATCAAGCAGTTGGGTCAGGGGAGGCAGCAGCCACCTGCTAGGAAGGGTCACCCTCAAAGTATCGATCCAGCATGGCCTCCACCTGGCCCTCCTCGTAGTCCAACACCTGGAACCTTGAGCCGTCTGCTGCTCCCCGGATCATGGCTGAAAGCACTGAGAAGGGCGGACGGAGGTGAAGGTGCCACTTCCATCCGCACTTCCCCTCTCCGCTCCCTGCCCTGTCCCGTTTTGGGGATAGGGCACTGTCCTGAGCCCCCCCCCCCAGGGCTGGGTCTGCAGAAGGCTGGGGTGGGAGGAGGCCCCCCCCCCCCAGGGCTTGGCGCTCACCTCGGCCAGACTGCGGACGGAAGAGGCACAGGATCCGCTTATTGAGGGCCACGGCCCGGCCCAGCTCATAGCCCACACCCAACGATGGCTGGGTCACTTCTGCCACCACCACTGGGAAGAAACGAGACCGCGGCTCAATATCTGGGGCTTATTAAGGGACAGATGACAGAGTCTGGGCGTGGCGAGAAGGGAACTCCCTCCCTGGTGTGGATGACAGGCATGTCCAGGGGATCTAATATCCCAGAGAAGTTTGTGGGTAGGAGGGGGGACCACTCACCATCTGCCTGCTGCAGCCAGGCCAGGTCCCGCTCATGGATGAGCCTGTCACCCCCAGCAGCCTCTTCCCCTGTGGAGGAAGAAAAGCTGGTCAAGGCCAAGCCCCTGCCTGGTCCTCAGCACTCAGTACCTCTCCTGTGCCTTCGCCACCCCTCTGTCTGCCCTGCTCAGTGAGAGGGGAAGGCATGCCAGGTGACCTCCGAGGACCCAGGGAAAGGATGAAATGGAATATAGCCACAAGAAAACTTCCAGGGGGGCGTGATTAGGGCCAGATGAGGGGCACAGAGGAGACTACGGGAAGGACTGTTCCCTCACTGTGGGTCAGGGGTCAGAGATGGAGAGGAGGATGAACAACCAGAACCTAGCTGAGCGGCTCACAAGCTTTGGTGGGTGCCGCATCAGCTGAATGCTTGATAGGATGCCCGGCTGCCTCAGGAGCTCTCCAAGCGATTGGGAGCCCCACCAGACTTCGAGCACCAGTGCAGGAATACAATGCATGACCAGTAGGAAGTGGTGGGAAGGAAGGTAGAGGAGGGGCTCTTCCTGGGGTCAGAGGATAAGGCCCTCAGTTCTGGCTTGATGAAATGTTAGTGCCCGCATCAGAGCAGAATCCCTGGAGAGCTTATTAAAAATACATCCTAAGCCTTCACCCCAGACTGCTATGTGAGCCTGTATTTTAAACAAGTTCCCTCAGATGACATTCGAGCACACTAAAGTTCCAGAACCACTGGGTGGGGGCCGTGGACAGGACATGCCCTGAAACCAACGAACCTTAAGCTTCAGGGCCCTGCACTTGGCGAGGCCCTTTCCAGCGCCCTAGCAATTTTGCTTTGTGATTTCACCTGATGAGGGAGCAGAAGGCAAGCTGAGGACAAAGCACAAGCTGACACAGGGCAGCCCCCGCCCCACTGCCGGGCGGGATCCCTACAACCTTCCTCAGGCACTCCCGGCTGCTCTAGATAGAGCTAAGGGAAGGGAAACACAAAGGGTGAACTAATAGAGATCACAGTCCTGCAGGACAGGAGCCTTCCCTTGGTTTACCAATGTCTTAGTGATTTACAAGAAAAAAGCATTTGTATCAATAACCTAACTTCCAGAGACCCATCACTCCATTTTCTGGAGCCCTAGCATCACCCTCCCCTCCACAGTGATGTGGGACACAAAGGTAAAGGAAATGCAGGTAAAAATTAAATATCCTTAACCTGCAGCCCATTGACATACTTGCAGGCAGGGTATAACGTTCCTCCAGGAAGCTCCCAACAGTCTTAATGCTTTGCTAAAGGGGAAACAACCTTAGCTTGACAAGGGCAAGGCCTCCAGTATCTTCTTCAGCACATCAAAGTCCTCTCCGACACCTTCCTTTCTCCTTACCTCCCCCAACTCTCAAGTATATAATCAGCCATTCCTCAAAACCCCAAGGCAGCAGCTCTTTCTGCCCACGGGCTCCTGTCCCCGTGCTTTAATAAAATCACCTTTCTGCACCAAAGACATTTCAAGAATTCCTTGTTGGCCGCCGGCTCTGGACTCCAACCTCACCAACATTCCAAAAACTACATCACACCTTTTTAAAGAGGTCTCCAAAACTGCATTAGGTCCCACAAACCCTGGATCCGCTCCTGGGGCTGGCGAGGGGAAAGCACTTAAAGGTTTTCTGAGCAGAAGTACAAGAGTTCAAGCACAACTTTCAAACTAGAAGACGCGCGGAGGTTCCAGACCAAAACTGATCAAAGCGGCGCTTTAGAAAGACCCAGCAGCCAGGAAGTAACAGCCTGATGAGAGGGCAGGAGAGAGATGGTGGTGGTGAAAACTGGGGTCCTCGGGGTCCAAGAGAGGGCGGATACCCTGACCGCCAAGGGGGAAGCAGGAGGATAAACCCTGTCTTAGGTGGGGGAGCAGATGCCTGCGGGTGAGGCGGGAACTGCAGCTGCCCCGTTCATTCCCACTCTACTCCTCCCTGCTCCGTCCCTGGAAAGAGGGGAAGAAAATTCTCTAGGAAAGAATCAAGGTCAAGAGAACAACTGAATGCGGAGACCGGGCTCCCACCCGCAAGCTCACCGGGACCCCCGCTGTCCGAGCCCCGGCTCCCTTTCCCGGCTGGGCAGGAGGGGACGGGCTCCGGGCCAGGGGGACGCGCGGCCGGCTATGGGACGGCCGCCGCCGGGGGTGGGGAGTGCAATCTCGGTAGCCGGGTGGGACCGGCCCGCCTCACCGCGCCCCGCCGCCCGCCTCACCGCCCGCGCCCAGCTCGGCGGCCGCCACGTGCTCCGTGAGCACCGCCCCGAAGCGCCGCAGCCGCGACACGATCCGCCCGTACAGCGCCCGGTCCTCGCGCCCGCCGCGGACGCTCCCGCAGAAGTACAGGGCCCGGCGGCCCGGTTGGCCCGGCTGGCCCGGCTCCCCGCTTTCCCGCGCTCCGGGCACCGCCGCCGCCGCCATCCCGCCGCAGCCGCCGCCACGCCCCTCCCGGCGCCAGGGGGCGCCCGCTCGCGGTCACGTGACTCGGCCAACCCCGGGAGAAGGTGCCTGCGAGTGAGCGGGGCGAGCTGCGAGCCCGGCGTTAGCCTCCGGACGCTGACGACAGCGCGGCTGGAAACCCACCGCCTCCCGGATCTCGTCACTGCAGCTGGTCGCCCACACCCCACCCGCTCCTGCGCCCCTCGGGCCCGGGCCTTCCCCGTCTCAGACGCAGGTGCATCCTCTGGTGACGCCACCTCCCTAAGCCCACCTCCTACTACTCTCACTCTCCGCAGGCACGCTGGCTTTCCTCAAGCATGCTGGCCATGCCCTTTGCATTCGCTGTAGCCTGGAACCCTCTACTCCCGGGCAGCTCCCCGGAGCACTCCCTCACCTCTTCCAAGTCTTCACAGGTCACCTTCCCTGACCATCCTGTTCAACATGGCAGCCTCCTGTTCGCAGTCCTCCCTATTGCCCTCCCCTGCCTTACCTTTTAGCCTTCTCCCTAGCATGTAGCATGTTGATGAATTTTTTTTTAAAGATTTTATTTATTTATTTATTTGAGAGAGAGAATGAGAGAGCATGAGAGGGGTAGGGTCAGAGGGAGAAGCAGACTCCCTGCTGAACCTGGAGCCTGATGCGGGACTTGATCCCGGGACTCCAGGATCATGACCTGAGCCGAAGGCAGTCGCTTAACCAACTGAGCCACCCAGGCGCCCATGTTGATGAATTTTGTTGTTTGTCTTTCTATACCCAGTAGAACGTAAGTCCCCAGGAGGGCAGGAACTTTTCTCTGTTTTGTTCACTGCTATATCCCTAGCTTCTAGAACTGTGCTGGACACATAGGAACTATTTATCAAATATTTGTTGAATGAATGAGTGGATTCAGATGAGAAGTTATATTTGCCAGCACTTTGTAATCTGTTCAGCCCTGTAGTAGGCTGATAAAAGCAGGATCTTCAGGGAGGTTGGCAAACACACCATTGTTCACTGGTAATAACAATGATTTCCCCCTCATCATGTGATGAAAATATACATAGGACCAAAAAAAAAAAATCAGATGGAACAAGAGAGTACTCAGTGGAAAGTGAGTCCTGAGACCCCAATCCATTCCCTAGAGGAAAGCTCTGTCATGCTTCCTTCCGAATTCTTCCTGAATGAAAACTATAAAATACCAAGGTATGGGGTTACAGGGCTGACAACAACAATAATTTTTAAAAACACAAAGACAGGGTGCCTGGGTGGCTCAGTCGGTTGAGGGACTGACTCTTCATTTTGGCTCAGGTCATGATCTCAGGGTCGTGGGATCAGGCCTCGCTTGCTTGCACACAATCTCTCTCTCTTAAATAAAGAAATAAATCTTAAAAAATAAATAAAAATGCAAAGGCACAGGGGGGCCTGGCACGCTCAGTTGGAAGAGCATGCCACTCTTGATCTCGGGGTTGTGAGTTCAAACATTGGGTGTAGAGATTACTTAAATAAATAAACCTTAAAAAAAATGCAAAGACACAAAGAGAAGGCAAAGAGATTTTAGGATATATCTCTGTCCTCTGGTGGGCCCAGCCACAGGTACCCAGACCATGGGGCAAACATATACGCAGAGCCATCCGCTAGGGCCCCAGGCCCCCCTCACACACACACACACACACACACCCCTTGACGCATCTTTCGGAAGGAAGCCTTGTGTGCCAGACCTCGTGTGCCAGATGACCTGACGGGCAACTTCCTCTGCCCTCCTTATCCTTGCTCATGCCTTCCCTCCGTTCTTCCCACAGAGAGGAACCCACATACACATGTACACACAGAGCATCCTATTTCTGCCTCTGTGTCTTGAAGAAAGTAAACCAGCCTCTGTCTCCTTAGGGCTCACACTGGTGATGTGGCTGGCATCCCCCTTCCACCTCAGGCTGAAGGAGAAAGAGCAGAAGGAGTGGCAAACAAGACCCTGAAATTGGTTCTGTGTCCCTATCAGGTGGGGGAGGCTGCAGAGCTAGCCGTGGCTTGCAGCTGCAATCCTCCAGCTCCACGGACAGAGGCCCGAGGTGGAAGGTGGGGGCACTAAGGGGTGGGATGGAGGAAGCAAGGCAGGTGCACAGTCTAGTGAGGCGGCCTGATGGGGGGCGGTATGGAATCCTAATTCCATTAACGACTTGTCAGACAAGTTACTACTTGCTAGCTCTGTGACCTTGAGCAGGTCCCTTAAAGCCTCTGAGCCTCAGTTTTCTCATCTCTAAGTAAGAAATGTTCTCCTGCCTTACTTACGCAGTTTGTTTGAGTATGGTGCGGTTCTGATGAAGTATGTGAGAGCACTCTACAGAACACCAGGTGCTCTACAAATGATGTCATTGTTCAGTTCCACAGAATTGTTTGCATTACAGACAATGTCAAACTTACATACATAGTGCATAATTTCATTAAGAACTTTTTTATGTAAGTGTTTTTTTAGAGAGAGAGAGCACTCTTGGGGGAGGGGTAGCAGAAGAGAGAGAATATTTTTTAAATTTAAATTCAATTAATTAACATATAATGTGTTGTTTCAGGGGTACAGTTCTGTGATTCATCAGTCTTATACCCAGTGCTCATTACAACGCATACCCTCCCCAATGTCCATCACCCCATTACCCCATCCCCCCACCTCCCTCCCTTCCTCCCCTCCAGCAACCCTCAGTTTGCTTCCTAAAAGAGTCTCTTATGGTTTGGAGAGAGAGAATCTTAAGCAGGGTTCCACGCCCAGCAGAGGGCCTGACAACGGGGCTCAATCTCACAACGCTGAGATCATGACCTGAGCTGAAATCAAGAGTCCGACCCTTAACTGACTGAGCCACCCAGGCGCCCTGTAATTCCATTTATTTTTTTTTAAAGATTTATTTGTTGGGGCGCCTGGGTGGCTCAGTCAGTTAAGTGTCTGCCCTCGACTCAGGTCATGACCCTGGAGTCCTGGAATTGAGCCCTGCATTGGGCATCGGGCTCCCTGCTCAGCGAGGAGTCTGATTCTCCCCCTCTCTCTGCATCTCCCCCTGGCTTGTGCTCTCTCTCTCTCGCTCACTCTCTCAAATAAATAAATAAAAATCTTTTTAAAAAATTAAAAATAAAAGATTTATTTATTTTTTTAAGGGGCGGGGCAGAGAAAGAGGGAGAGAGAGAATCTTTTTTTTAAAGATTTTATTTATTTATTTGAGAGAGAGAATGTGAGAGAGAGCACATAAGAGGGGGGAGGGGCAGAGGGAGAAGCAGACTCCCTGCTGAGCAGGGAGCCCGATGCGGGACTCGATCCTGGGACTCCAGGATCATGACCTGAGCCAAAGGCAGTCAGTTAACCAATTGAGCCACCCAGGCGCCCTGAGGGAGAGAGAGAATCTTAAGCAGGCTCCACGCCTAGCACAGGGCCTGACTGGGCTCGATCTCACAACACTGAGGTCATGACCTGAGCCAAAATCAAGAGTCAGACACTTAACCGACAGCCACCCAGGCGCCCCAGGATACCTTTTTTTTTTTTTTAAATGTAACCAAAATACCATTATCCCAACTAAAATACTTAACAAGGTTTTTTAACATCATCAAGTATTCTACCATGGTTCAAATCTCCAGTTGTCTTAGAAATGTTTGTTTACAGTTTATTGGTTTAAGAGCAGAAGCCATGGGACGCCTGGGTGGCTCAGTCGGTTAAGTGTCTGCCTTCAGCTCAGGTCATGATCCCGGGTCTTGAGATCAAGCCCCACGTTGGGCTCCATGATCAGCGGGGAGTCTGCTTCTCTTCTCCCTCTGCTCCCTGCCTCGTGTGTGTGCACTCCCTCTCTCTCTCTCTCAAATAAATAAATATACCTTTTAAAGAAATAAAAATAACTAAAAAAATAAAAGTGGAAGCCACATAAAGTCCACATGTTGTGATTGGTTCATATGTCTTTTGAGAGTATTTTATTTTATTTTATTTTATTTTATTTTATTTTATTTTATTTTATTTTAAAGCTTTTGTTTGTGAGACAGAGAGAGAACACAAGCAGGGGGAGTGGCAGGCAGAGGAAGAAGCAGGCTCCCCGCTGAGCAAGAAGCCCGATGCGGACCCTGGGATCATGACCTGGGCTGAAGGCAGACACTTAAATGACTGAGCCACCCAGGCATCCCTTTTGAGACTATTTTAATCAACATGTTGCTACTGCATATTGTCTCCCCCCAGTCCCCTTATTTGTTCTGCTGAGTTTCCTGTAGTCTGGAGTTTACTGATTATATACCTGTAGTGTCATTTAAAGGGTTCTTCTGGGGCACCTGGGTGGCTCAGTCAGTTAAGCATCTGCCTTTGGCTCAGGTCATCATCTCCAGGTCATGGGATCGAGCCCCACGTCAGGCTCTGCACTCAGCAGGGAGTCTGCTTGTCCCTCCCCCTGCTCACTCTCTCTCTCTCTCTCTCTCTCTCTCAAATAAATAAATAAATAAAATCTTTTTTAAAAAAGTGTTTTTCTGTCTTATAAATTGGAGTTGGATCTAGAGACTTGATCAGATTCAGATTCCGTTTTGGGCAAGACTACTTCACAGGTGGTGGTGTGTACTCCCATCTTGGGGCATATGGTGTCTGGATGTCTCTCTTTTGATGTTAACAACCACTGATGCTCAGTGCCCCAACTGATTCATTCACTCATTCATTCATTCAGGAACATACCAAGAAAAATGTTTTTATTATAAAATAAAATCCACTTGCAGCAAGCCACTTTAAAGCAAATTAATTATTATAAGACACTCTTGTAACCACCACCCGTGTCAAGAAATAGGTCTTTAGCCACCCAGAAGTTTCCATGTGCCCCGTCCCAGTCACAGTCTCCTTCTTTCCTCCAAAAGTAAACACTGCCCTTACTTTAAAAAAAAAAAAATTTTTTTTTTTAAAGATTTTATTTATTTGACAGAGAGAGAGAGACAGCCAGAGCGGGAACACAAGCAGGGGAAGCAGGAGAGGGAGAAGCAGGCTTCCCGCCAAGTAGGGAGGCTGACATGGGGCTGGACCCTGG